TGTAGCTCGCAGGGTCATTGAGGCGCGCAAGCCATCACACCACGTCAAGGTGCAGCCTAGTCGTGATGGGTACTGGGTTGTCGGTTCCCGAGAATGGATAGTAGGTCCTCGTGACTATAGGGTTCACTCCTCCTACTGTTCCTCCCATAAAAGTGGGCAATGAAAAAGTTTGCCAGGTCGAGGAAGGAGAAAAGCTATCACACCATATCAAGGTGCAGTCCCGCCGTAATTGGCACATTGCTATGATATGAAGTTTCCCAAGAAAGCAACGTCATGTCTTCTGACGTAAGTAATTAAGCACAAAGTCGTCGATATGGCCTATATTGCAGCAATGGCAGACCGCGAAATACTGCTTTCGTCAGTCGATCTGCTTATGCTTATCTAACAATCTTTGACAACCAAATGCACAAACAATCACAAAAATAAACGAAATCAGTTGATAAACACGGTCTCTTTGGTACCTTCATATGGTACAAATTCTCCGCAGCCGGAGAGGTCTCGACCAAACACAATTAAGCATCTGAAACATATTAACCGCAGACCGAATCCAAAAGCCGCCGTATGTTCAAATTGCCACCGTATCAACCGAACATGCGTCTTCGACTTTCATTTAGGCTATTCAGCAGTGTTTTACATGCAACACGATAAAATAAATTCCGACACATTGGATCTGTTGACATAGTATTGAAAATCACGTTTTCGTAGCTCAGGTGAACTGAGTTCTATTTCGCCTGTTCGCCGAACTTGGCAATTTGTTTGCGAACGTTTCTTCACCAGGCGAGGTGACATCATCACAACCATTGATGATGTCACCTCGGCTCGTGATGAAACATTTGCAAACAAATTGCTAAGCTCGGCGAACAGGCAAAATAGAACATATTGAATGTGGTCAAAAATAAGACGACTGTGTGAGCCATCAGTAAACGGTAACCTGGCAATCCATCAAGTTGCAACTCACAACTTCCCACGACCGGGTTTAGATCTGAAACAGAAGTCTGTTAGTGGCAGATCAACAACTAGAACTTCTGACTTGCTGAGAAAGCAGTTTCCTGGTCTAATGGTGATATTATCAATATTTTGTTCAATTTATATCTGAGTTCAATAAAACGAGGTGTGGATCAGATACTGGGCAAATCAGGAGAGAAAACTCACCATCCTTCTTCTCATCCGCTTCGTGCAAACTGACCGCGATCCCTGTGTCCCCGAATGTGTCCACCTGCCCGGAGTACAGTTTGACTTTGAATGGATCCAATGCACCCAAGACTCCAAGAGAACGGAGGACCTGTTCAACAGATCATGAGTTAAGAGTAGGATACAACAAAAAGCGATGAGATGCCTTTGCTCAAATTAGTGAGAAGCATGCTAGAGGTCGTTTCTAATGAAATCGTTAGACAGATAGACAATGAATGTGACAAACGAGTATACGATCGGTGGGAACCAGAAACACCATAAACCAATTCATGTAATCAAAGTTTTAAGAATATGTGCAGTTTATAGAACGCAGCTGATGGCATATAGGACGGGAGAAATGAAATTCAGTGGCCGACTTTCGGATACGACCAATGATCAAACTATCGTAGGACTCATCATCGAGTGATGAATTACAGTGAATAAACCGAGCTTTTATGCGCCAGGAACACGATTAACTCGCAATGACGCATATGGAATTAAGGGGAAAAATTGAGTGTAAGTTTGCGTGCGAACTGACTAACAACCAAATAGTACAACTCTTGGTGAATGTGTTGAACCTGCAACGATTCCGAATAAATAAGCACACAACTCATCAACGCACACACACACACCGCCACCCTATGGATAATTGATACATACCGTTGAAATGCACATGAGAAGAAATGCACAGATAATACCTAAACTGCGCACACCGACATGTACATCCGAAGAGAGATCAAACGCATACGAATAGAGACTAAATAACCCACTTCCTGTCTGATCTCCTTTGACTCCTCGCGTTTGAGCATATCCAGTAGTGTTTGAAGCAATTGCGGATGACGACGATACGGGGACACAACAAATCCGGCATTGGAGATCAGACGACTGAGAGTCCACACCGCGATCTGGTTGACAGAGAGAGGGGGGGAGAGAAAAGAAACGGTGGAAATTAATGGAATGACAGTTATCATCAGCCGGGAGATTAGGTATGCATCTTTACTATTGGTGCTTCAAGTTAGAAATCAATCGGAAACTTCCACGAACTGACAAGAAACAAAGTTTCACGCAACGCAAGATGCGAATAATAGGTGGACCATGGCAGTAAACAAACCCGTGCATGGTATCGTCCATTAATCATGAGGAAGAACTGTATATTCCAGCTATACTTTGGGTAAATTCGGGGGGAATCAACCGGGAAATCTAGCGGTATCAGCTCGCGGCGGAACAGCGATTTTCATCACTCTTTAACGTCACAATATGCACGCTTTTGTCATCCTCTTATCACTATGGTACAACGAAATCTATGCTATTAGAGCATCTAGCGCTTCGGCCGAGCTCACAGTAAAAGCGACTACGAGGTAAAAAAAGTGCACGGAAAGAAAGATATTGAGGCTGTCGAAGCTGCCTGCTTCAGCACGCACTAGACCCCCGGGGAGTGAAGACAACAAGTTTCAGAAAAACTTCCGGTAAATTGACCATGTTGAATGACCAAAGTAGGGTAATGCTGTGAAGACATCAGTACAAGCATAACATCTACGCATACGGAAGGAAAATCCAACCACTCATAATTACGCACAATTGCGTTACTTTAGTGAAACTGTTAAAACTCATTGCAGTTCTGCAACACATGGCACACGTTGTTCGACCCAATCATGTAAACACCCGAGCTAGATAGACGGATTCATCAGAATAAAAACGCCGAGTGACACATCACTCTCAGGTTGTGTAGGAGTTTAAACTATATCGAGGACACGATTTTCTACCATAGCAAATTAGCCTGCTCACAGTATTTCACTTTGATCGAAAACATTGGCCATTTGATGAGCTGACGAAGGAATGATGATGAATGAGTTTAACAGCGACTAAGCATAAAATTTCGGGAACTATTTGATGCGGTTTTGTAGAACGTCACCAATCTATCTGATGCACAAGCATACACTGGATGACTTATCGGTGAGTCTCAATAATATACACGCGTTGTAAGTCAAACAGATCACCACAAAATAGCATACACTTGAAATGATTCCTGAATGCCGACAAAAATGATAAACACCAAATTCGTAAAAAATAATGAACAGGAATAAAAAAACAAATCGAGGGAAGAATGAAGTCGAGATGGCGAAACCGTGAGCTCCAAGCAAAGTAGTTCAAAAAGGAAACGTACCGATCGTCGAAGCAGGCAGGAAGAGTCTTGCATCATCCAACAAAGAACCGGGATAAACTCGTCCATATAAGACCGAATGGAGCATGGAGCCACAGCGGATAGACGACCAAGTGCTGTGAATAAAGCGATGATCACCGAAGTTGGCTCGGTCCATTGGGTGGAGGCTGGAGAAGTTGTCGCTGTTGTGGCTGAGATACCCGTAGCATCGGACGCAAATAAACCAGACGAATATAGGCCTGTGACATTTGACGTTGAGGGTAATTGATTGAATGCGGTTTGTAAGGCTAGGCCAATGCCAACGGGTCCGCCAGGTGGTTCCAATGATCGACTACCAAGGTCGAGTTGGAAAGGTTTTGATCGCTCACCCAGATTCATAACCGCGTTCTGTAGTTATGTGAGGGGGGACGAACCACATTTAAATTGTACCGCAAATAGGAATAAAAACAGAATGTTTTTGAGACACAGTTGCAGTTTCAGTTATCTCAAAAATTGTGAACCGTATTAAAATCCGCAGTGAATAAAAATACATGTGCACGAGCAAGATGATGTGGCATTACTAACCATGTATGTGCCTGTGAGCGCAGCCAAGTCCGGAGGAATCCCACCGCATCGGGCAAAGTGACTGGTCAGAGTATCGACTGTTGGAACTGCTCCATCCATGTACTGCCCGGTGGCATTTAGCACAATAGCAGCTGCGGTGGCAGCAGTGGCTGCTGCATTTGTGGCCATGGCGACCGCATTCGCCGTGCTAGTGCTTTGTGCATTGTGTGTCCCACGCTTGGATAAGGCCAAACGACTGGCTTGTTGTTGAGCTATTGCGCCTGCATTGATCCCCAAGCCGGGAGCGGCCGCTGTATTGGCTGTGGCTGCGGCTGCAGCCACCGCGTTCGCAGTGGCCACGGCAGCACTTGCCGCGAGCTGGGTGGCTATAACGGCAGCATGCATTGCTTGAGTTGTTGAATCGGACTGATCATTCATAGGGCTAGAACAGATAGACTCACAGCGGTCTGCAAAACGAACGGAGAAGATGAGTTAAACATTGCATTTGTGTTGCAAATCAAAACACGACACAATAATAACGAGTAAAGGTGAAAAAGAACTGTTAAAACTGACAATTTAACAAGCGTAAAAAAGAATAACGACAGCGGGTGAGAAATGCTTACAGCATCGACCCCGGAGGAATAAAGTATTTCAAGCGAACTGTTAAAAATCGATGAAAAGTGGGTGCACGCAAAGGCGGAACGCGCTCACCGACGATCAGTGTACATAACATGCGAATTTCATTTCACTTTAGGACAAATTCCCGGGACTAAACAGAAATAGTATCGTGCAAATAGGGACACTCTGGATGAAGGGAATGCCGCTAACAATGAACGGGCATGTGTGTGTAGAACCTTAGTTATAGGTGACACATCTTTGAGGCCAGCATTTATCAAAACATGAAACAATCATGCTGACGGAAAAGACAATTTTTAGAAAATTTTGAGGTCAAAACTTCCCATGTCCTGGTGGTTCAAACATATTTAAGATCTGATTTAGATGGGTTTTGATAACAGACGACTCTAATATCAAACAGAACATCACAAATGGAATTACCAACGGTCTAATTTGATGAGTTCTTCATTTTGCATGATAACGAAATGTGGTCATTGATACACAAAGTCTAACCTCGCAGCAAGAAGCAATAATTTCTTCTCCTAATTTCATCCAAAATCACCATCCTTCAGACTTTACATTCGTTTCGAAAGCTTTATACTTGGGTTTTCGCTTGCGTTTATGCACAGAGTAGTGCACAACCACCGTCCGGGATCTGAACCCCGGACTGTGCATGGAAGCTGAGTGTAGCTACTGTGCCAACTCCCTCACACGGATAGGACGAACTGAATGACCAATTCAGGTTAGTTTAGATGTGGTCATCGGAGATAGTCCGTCAGTTGAGGGAAGTGTACGTAAAGCTACAAGGAAGAGCTCGTACGGCAGGAGGCTTTCGATTAGAATTAACAGATTACATACTATCTTCGTTCGGAGTTGTCGAGTCAACTGAGTTAGTTGTGTAGTGGCAGAACTTGGAGAAATTTCTACACGAATACACTATTCACCAAATAATCTACGCAGATTTTAAAAACATGAGGCACTTTCTCTGTGCCAACAATAAATATACAAGGACATAGAAGACAAACAACCTGCGTCATCTATCACTCGACATCTGTTGATGAAGAATCATGGCCCGATACCGACAAGCGACTTAGGATCGTTTACGATAACCCCAACACCCGGCTGCATAGGTCTGCGGAGTCGGTTAAAACTAGACAATGGAAATCTGGTCTATGTGTGCAAGAAGAGCTGTCGGTCACACTATCATTACCATGGTAGTGGTAAAAGTCGTCTTCGCGTGTAACCTGATGTAATTAATGTTTCACCATACAAACTGTAGTTTTCTGCCCTGGCATAAATCAAGCAACCTAGCTTTGTTTTGCCCTCTGTTCAAGTTTATCTAGGAAAATAAATGTTTTAGGAAACAAACCACTCACAGCCCTTCGTCCATTCACGCTCATTTTGTGATAGGAAAGACCGATGGAAAACCATGACGTGATGGCGATAAAACATTAAGCTATTGGCTAAAGAAATAAAACTGTGAATTGATCAACAGAAACCCGCAATTCAACATTTACAAGCAGCTTAATTTGTGCCGAACTGATTCAACTGCTTACCAGTGTCAAAAATGCTCGACGACTGTTGCAGGCGGGACACGGCCGACGCGGCGAGTGAAGCACGCAACGAGACTGGCAAAGCTTGCCGAATCCGGGGAATGAGTATTTGAATGACGGGTTCTGCATAAGGAATGAAAAAGTTTGGAGCCGAGGCCACGAGACAGGCCAGTAGTAGGGCAGACTGTTCCTTATTCCGCGTCGATCCACTGTGGGCTAAATTATCCAGAATCTATAAGAGAAAGACCGCGACAAATTAACATGGTCACAAAACATTTAGGAAAAAGGATACTAGCAATTTTGAATCGTATTATTGTTTGTAAAATCATTCAGATTAGATGCGTTATTCACTAACAGCGTTAGCTTGCAGTTATTGGACAGACAGGACAGCATACCTTGAAAACAAAAAAATAATAATAATAAAGCGTTTTGCACCTTAAAAGTGTGAAATTTCATTACAGGACTCGGTTGGGTCAGCCCCCAACCTTACTTGAATTGGTGAAGAAGTAGAGGAAATGGAGAAATTTTGCTATTTGGGCAGCCATAGATCGCCTGGTGAGTGTATAACATACAAGGGTTCACATGTATACAGAAGGCTCGATTGGCAGTTGTCAACCCAAGACAACTGTTGCGCCGTCGCGACATCTGACTCTCTGCTCAGGTTTGATTCTATACTGCAGCAGTTTGGCCAATGCTACTTTTACATCAAGCAGGTTCCAATGGTGTGAATAGGCAATCATACCGATTTACAAGACAGGTGACAGATTCTTCAATGAAAACAAGAGGAGTTTATTCAACATTGTCTCTGAACTTCTCGCGGGCATTATACTCCGTCGATTATCTGCCGCACGTGAAGAGTGCACGTGGGAGAACCCGACTGGCTTTATACCTGGTCGAGGTTGTATAGACCACATCTTCATTCATCGCCAAATTCTAGAGCGCCGACATTCTTTTCGTAGACCCACCATCTGTCTTCCTCGATCTGAAAGCGGCTTTCGACTCAGTCAACCGCTCTAAACTCTGGAGCTGCCTCTCACCGAAGGGTGTGCCCAAGAAGTTTATTTCAACATTATGATCGCTTTATACTAATAGCCGAAGTCGAAGCCGAGCTTACTGCACTCTGTCACCTGAAGTCACCACGGAAAGTGGTGTTCGTCAGGTTTGTCCTCTAGCGCCTTTGACTATTTGACTATTCTATTTGACTTTCTTATAGATTTGATTATGGAAACAGCCCCATCTTCATGCGAGGATAGCGGCATCGATTTACTCCCGGGTGGCAGACGGCATTGAACCGCTTATGAAGATCCAAGTAAGCTGCAAGCTTTCCCGGATAGTTTGGGTGCCAGCACAGCCATGTTCGGTATGTTTTCTGTACATTCA